TAGTAATTTCTGGATAAACTTCAGAAGGATCTTGCTTGTGTGTGATATGAGTGATATTGTTCGATAATTTCTACACTCTTTTAGGTCACTTTTTTTTTGAATGGGAATAAATGTCAATCCCTACAAGTCATTTGGCCAGGTAGTTGTCCTTCAGATTTCTTGGAATAACCTGGTGAGTGTGTTCAGGACAGCATCTGCTTGCTGAAACAAGTCAATTCCTGGGGTCTTGTTTTTTGCCAATTCCTTCAGAGCAACTTGAACTTCCTCCTTCAACACTATAGGCTCTTGATCATATGTTATTTAATGAAATTCTTCTGTGTCAGCCAATTCTACTTGGTATAGTGTCTGTGTACTCCTTCCATAGGTTCATATCCACCAGCAGCTCCACAGGAGAAAGATGGGCAATCTCCTATTCAATTTTGTTACCTTTGAGGACCCCTTGGAGGGTCAGCTATGAGTGGGTTCCTACTTGGTGGTACACAACAACATACTTGATACAGCTCACCCAGGATTACTCAATCTGAATGAAGGCTGCCCTGCAGGTGACACTTTCCTGCTCCCAAGTGTCAACAGTGAAAGGGGAAAGGACTCTAAAACAGGAAACAGGTGGCCAGGAAGCAAATTCCAGCCAGCCCAAAGCTTCCTGTTACCCCAAACAGGTGGCTTCCCTAGACCTTTCATCTCATAAAGAGACTATAAAATGTCATCTGGAGTTTTATTTTTTAAATCACTGATTCTATCGAATTTATAGTAATGCAAACAACAAAAAAAGGCTCCTTGGAGCAAAAGGGAAATAAAGTTATTTAAAATTGTCACAGTCTAGGTTTAAAGATCAGTCTAGGATACCCCAAGAAAGGAGGAGAGAAAAAAAATATTTGCAGGGGGAAGGCGGCAAGGAGAGAACCAGAGCCAAATGTGCCATAGTTAGGAAAGTGGGTTATACACGTGGGGGCAAGGGGTTATATGCCCCTTAATTTACTTAAAGGGCAGTATTTTCAAAACCTTAGCCATTGCTAAAGTCCTGAATGGAGATTATGTCTGTCTAAGGAAATTCTCTGTAGCGAAGGTGGTAAACAAAGCCTCTGAGAAAGAGAGTCATTACCTAAGGAAATACTGATGTGCTGGTATATAACAGGGGTTCTCTGAGAAGTTAAAATTTAAGCTTTGAGAGAAAGAGAAATAATTATTAAACTATGAAGGGGTATAATTAAGAGATGTTAAAATGCTGAAAACAACAAAAAAGGTACTGTGAGCTATATTCAAAGCAAGAAGAAAACGGAGATGTGGTCTGGGGAGAGGAGTGCACCATTCTCAAATACAGTGAAAAAAAAATAATACAATTCAAGACGAAAGATAGTATGAGTGAGTGAATGAAAATATGATTTGTAAATTTTCACTAAAATAAAAAAAGAATGCTGCCTTCCATCTCTCATTATAAAGAGATTTTTTTTTATTTTCTAAGCCAAAAATAAAGAGCATGGAGTTGAAACTGGGCCTGGGAGGAACTAAGGGAGGGTAGAGACTCAGCTACTTTCCGTTAGATCCAATTCCTCAAATGACTCTCATTCCAATGCTCTGAAGGGTGCATAAATTCTTTCAACCATGTGGATGAAGGCAATATTTTTGTAATCAAAGCAGCAGCCCTCACACACAGGTATACAGGATGTTCTACTGTACACAATGCTTTTTTGCAGATTATGTCTTCTGAGTCTTCTCACAGACCTGTGATATACACAGTAATATACCCTATAACATAGCCCTCATTACACAGTGAAATTTAGAATTTCAGTGTCCTTCCCAAAACCACATAGTCCCTTGAGAACAGAACTAGAGCTAGACCCAGGCCATTAGTTTCTGGCCTACAATGCTCTTCCCACTACTCATTGTATCTTTTTACTACACTGTTAGTAGAACAACTGACAAAATCCAAGCTGCAATACTAATGATATTATGTACAATTATACCAAGATTAAAATTATTACTTAGCAAGCAATGGTTAACATCTATTCAATTATTATAGGTCTCTGGTTATTCAGCCCTCAGATCCCATTTAATCTGTAGACTATCCCTGTAGAGGGAATTACAGATGAAGACTTAAAGCTCCTGCATTATATAACTTGGGCTTTGGGCTGGCTGGCATTCGCTTCCTGGCCACCTGTTTCCTGTTTTAGAGTCCTTTCCCCTCTCACTGTTGACACTTGGGAGCAGCAGTCATCAATGACTCCTGCAAAAGAAGTTTACATGCACTGGAATCTGTTCGGGTTCCAATGTCCACACACTTTGCACTATACCTGGCTGCTACCCTAAATGTTTATCAAGAACTACTCTAAGACAAGGAGAGCTAGTAGTCTAGTTGTAAGAATCTGAGCTGCTATCTTGAAAGCACATGATTCAAATCTACCAGCTACTCTGCAGAAGGATGGACAATCTTCTTTCATGTGGTTAAGTGCCTCTGAAAACCCACTGGAAGGTCATCTATGGGTCACTGGCTCACAACAAGAACAACTCTAAAATGCAGAAGTCTGTGGCAATTAAGCACTGGACTACTAACTGAAAGCTTGATAAGGTCTAGTAATACACTTCTGAAAGTTTACAGGCTTGGAGCCAACTCAACAGCAATAAAGGGCAACAATGACTTAAAGATATGGCAAGTGTGGCCAACAGAAAGACAGGGGACCAAAAAATAGTCAGTGACTTTCCCAAGCCCTGAGAAGTTGGATACTCGAGCCATATTTTCATAAAGTGGTTACCACAGTTTATTAACTACAGTTAATAAATAATAATAATAATTTAATAACCACAGTTTATTAAGTTCTGCTACTGTCTCTCTCTCTATATCAAGCAATAGGTAAGACTGGAGATCAAGCAGAGAATGAGATAGATACCATGCCTGTCTTCACTGCACAGACTGTAAGGCTTTCAGATGGATTTAAAGGGAATGCTCATAGTGTTTATAAAAAATGCTTGTGGTGACTGGTGCAACACAGTTTAAATGAAGTGGAATCTGTTCTAGTTAATAAAAACTTGGCTGCTAAAGGAAAGGTGACACTTCAAATCCACCATCTGCTCTGTGACAGAAAGGTGTGGCTGTCTACTTCTGTAAAGACTGTTGTGTACTGTTGAGTCAGAACAGGTTCCAAGCTGACCCTCTAGAGAGTTTGCAAAGGCAGTAAATTGTATGGCAGGAGACTGCCTAACTTTCTGCAGCGGAGCAGCTGACAGATCCAAATCATAAGCCTTTGGGTTAGCAATGTAACTCCTAACCACTAACCTAAGCAACTTGGACTTCCTTCTGTAAATATTTCACCCCTGAAAAATCCTAGGGAGGTGCAGTTCTATTCTGTCCTTAATAATTCAACAGCCTGAAAACCAGTAAAGGAGTTGAATCTTACCAAGTTTAATTCAGAATGTCTCAAAGTTCAGAGGAAAATGAATATTTTACTCATTTTAATGAAAAACAAAACAACTACTACCAGCAACACTTACTTTTAAGGGCAGGTCAAGGAATGCAGTAAATAGAATGCTTATTTTAAGGACAGGCTTTTGTAATTTAATCAGGTATGCATATTAATGAAAATACAATCTGGCTGAATGTAAAAAAAAAAAATAACTGCCAATTGAAACTATTACCTCCTAAGAATTATAAGTCTTCTACACAAGATCAGTTAAATCCAAGGGCAGAGAATACAGGTTAACTTCAGAATATGATATACTGACTAGAGGTAGTCCCCAGGTTGCAGAGAATACAGGTAAACTTCAGAATATGATATACTGACTAGAGGCAGTCCCCAGGTTGCAGAGAATACAGGTAAACTTCAGAATATGATATACTGACTAGAGGCAGTCCCCAGGTTGCAGAGAATACAGGTAAACTTCAGAATATGATATACTGACTAGAGGCAGTCCCCAGGTTGCAAAGAATGTCCCTACCTAACAATGTCTTTATGCCATTAAGTAGAATTTGTAGGTGAGGTTAAACAAGTGCAAATAATTCTTAGCCTTGTTTTTGTGCAAGAAAAGGATCAGTCTTTTTAATGATTCTATAACAAGTGAAGGTCATGTAATGAAGAATTTGTTGTTTAGGAGAACAAAAAGGTTAGCTGAATTTTTTGAAGACAGGTGAGAAATTCAGACTTTCAAGAGATACATTCATAATCCAGGGACTGCATGAACTTAATTTATTCCAGTCTATTGTATGCTCTAAGAACACCCTTTGCTGGAAGCATTAGTAGTCACTGTACAATAATAAAGGCAAGTGTTGAGACTTGGTGTTATTAACTTACTTCGTCTTTTATCTGTTAATACGGGGTCATGGTTCTTACTACTTATATTCCTCCCTTAAGCTTACAAAGAATGGATTTAAGGGATTTTTAAACTCATGTCTATCCACAAAAGTGAGTACAGTATCTCCTCACCAATTCCACATCTTGCCCCATGTTTAGATTAAGGATAGCATACTCAAAGTTTCTAGAGACCAGGAAGGTACCAACAATGTGCAAAGTGGTAGGTAATGCAAACATTCAGTGTGCAACACAGCTCTGAAGATGGACAGGGGACTGTAGCTACTGGATTCCAATGAGTCCTGCAATTTTAAGAAAAACCGAAGTTCAAATTTTTATGCATACTCTTGAATATTTAAATGCTAGTCCAAGTTTGTGTGTTTGTTTTTAGAACTCTATGTGGGTCAAGCAGGTCACTGGTTTTTAACTTCTATTAATGTATTGTTGGTGTCTTCTCTGGAACAGCACTCATTTGACTCGTGAAATTCAGCAGGGTTATCTTTGTAAGTGTTCCACCACCCTGCAGATCACCAGGCATATGGTTCATTCATTCCTTAAGTATCACTGGTAGCATCTTTTTCAGGCAGCTAGACAGACTCACTGACTAATGCCACACAAGACAGAGTGGTTAAAAAGTGATCACATGGTAGCTTTCTCCCCAAGAGCCCAGAGAACTGAATTTCTTTCCTACAGAAAAGTTCACCCTGAGCAGTTGCTTACCCGTTTGTCAATGTCATTGTGTTGGAGCTGCACAAAGCGAGCACTGATGGCTGCTATGTAACTCTGCTGATTGGAGAACGCCACGCGGCCAGCACCTTTGGGGTACTTCAGTTCTGGGTCTGTATCAATGCCAGCATAGCAGACACCACCATACAAACGGTCCATGATCATTGCCAGTTCAACTGCAAGAAAATAAACACAACTATGTACAAATGTTTAGGAGGTACTCTTTACCAGGAGAAGAATAATTACTAAGGCATGCAGAATAATGAAGAAATAGAAAACCAGGTTAAATATCATGAAGAGTGTTCACACTAGTCTTAAAAAATTCAAGGAGGGGAGCTCCTCAAAAGATATTGAAAAACAAAATGAAACAAAACATTAAGAATTGATACATACACATAGAAATAAATATACTGATTAGAACTTCAGCAACATTACAGAAGGAATGCTCTATTAGTATTTCTATTAGAATTCCTAAACTCTTAGTACACTGAATGGGGCCCTGAGTAGGCAAAGCATTTCATGACGCAATTACAAGTTAATGAGAAACAACCCTAAGTAATCGACCTCTAAAACTGAATGCAATTCCTACAATCACACTGATATATTAGGATTAAGCTACAGGAACACTAAATTCCTTATTTTAATTAGAGATAATATGCTTCCAGCCTTAAAGCAAATCTCTAATAAGATTTTCGAAAAGAAATTTAAAATAGCCTATCCTAACCAAGAAATTTTCACACTGAATACAAATTAATAATACTTCTAATAGTAGCAACAACATTTATTGAGCACTTACAGTGTGCTAGGAAGCACCAAGTTGTTAGGCAATAAAAACATATGCAGACTACATCTTATTATCAACTGTGAGGACTGGTTTGCACTCCTTGCCACATTTCTCCTAAATATGCTTTTACATTGGTATATTTGCAAAAGCACCTGCACAGAAGATATTTAGAAACTAGACCATTTCTAAGTTCTCATATTCTAAAATTATCCCCATCATAAAGGTTCCATGGAGAGACACATAGCATTTATTTACCTGCATCTCAAACTTTCTGAAGGTGATTTTACCTTATATTGGATGGCATCTCCTCCTTTCAGGTTACTACTCATGTAGCAAATTCCAAAAGACTCAAGCCTCACCAGATGCTCTGCCGGAGAAGGAGGGACAATTTCCTCCTGTACCAGTCAGATCTGATTTGACGGTACATGCACAAAAAATAATAATAAAATTTAAAAAAAAAAGACTCAAGCCTATCCTTACCCTGTCTCACGGCGACTACCTCAAGAAGCCACTTTTTGCTAGCACTTCTATATGGTATTTGGAAAGGAGAAGAGGGAAGATGGATGATGACTTAGGCCACAGCCAATGTAAAAAAACCATCACAAACAGAGCTCCACATGAGTCAGATTTTAGGGAAACGGAAAGGTGCATAGCCTGGTAAATGAGGTGAAGAGACCCGCAGCAGCTACAAAGACTAGAAAGCCACGGCAGTGTAAGAATGGAAGGACAGCTGGTGTTACATGTGACAGAGGTAGGAAGAGGAGCTATGCTGTTTTGACAGAAAGGTTGTTGCTTCAAATTTTCATTCCATACCACACTGCCATGATTAATAAACATTTTCTAAGTGTCTGTGTGCAAAAGAAGTCTGACCTGTAACCAACAGTACATTTTCAGATAAGAAAGTTATCAATAACTGAGTCCAAGAACAAGTATTACTAAAGACAGAGCAGTAGGAAGTTAACTCAATTATCTCATTACAGTCAGAAAAACTGAGTCATATTAGCCAGGCATGGGATAGGATCCAGGGATAATATCCACTCCAGTACTGTAACAAGAAGCATGTGCACACACTAAATGTCCGAGTTTAGTGGTTCCTTACACTATGCCTCAACAACCTGAGGCCCTTCTCACATGGACAATGTTATTCCAGTGACACATTAATGTCTTTTCAGAAATTAATGCATTTTCTCTATTTCTCAAATGGACTTTAGAAAACATAAACAGCTTCAGGCCTTGGAAATGAAATTCTAATTTACCAAAGATCTTCACTTGGGATGAAATAAGAAAGTGAATATTCCCTGAGCCTGATAAGTGGTCAAGAAAATAATGCTGGAGGAAAAAAATTCTCCTCAATTATGAAAAAAAAAAAAAAAAACCAGAAAAAGAAAAAAAAAGACATTCTTGGCTTCTGGTAAGAAGCAGAGACTTTCACTTACTTAAGCTTCCATGAAACTAATTATAAATAACTTCTACTTGCATGCTAGTATAAAATTATTTTCATGGTCACCAGAAAGTCTGCAAGACATTGGAAACAATGAAGGCCTACTCAAGTAAAGGATAATTTGTTGAGAAACTGGAAGAAACTATAGTGATTAAAGAGAGTTTTTTAGGGGGTGAGTATGACTATTATCTCTATTTCTACCCTAATCTGTATTTGAATGACAAGAAAGTCTAAGCTTGTCATCAACTTTGAAGAAAATAAATGGTTAAGTGTTATCCTGTACCCAGCCTGTAGCTCCTCAGGAATGCACACACCTGTAGGCTAAACTCCTATTAGTCTTGAACAGAAGAGGGATGTCATTTGAAAAAAAAAAAGGAAGTTTCTAAATGCTGAAAAAATATTATCACTTGGCAAAAGACTCACAGCTGACCTACCAGCAGGTTTTCAAAGACAGGAATGCCCATCCTTTTACCATGGAACAGGTGGTAGATTCGAACTGCATGCCAATGGGAATGAGGTGCAGCTTTTTACCACCAAGCCACTGATAAGTAAAAAACAACAAAAACCCCCACAAACAAAAACCCACCAACAACCCACAGTAAGCCTTCCTCAAGACCCCTAAATTTCCAAGTTGAGAATGTTTTTCAATGAAGATGAAACATACCTAGAAATGCCAGAATGCATAATTACTCTTACAGAGCAGATTCTAAAAGATTCTTCAAAGTATCATCAGTTCATATGTGAACTCCCATTCTCCGATGGCAGGAGAATGGAACAGAGAAGCAGCTCCTTTCTGACTACTTGTGGCAAGGAGAGAAACAAGAAGAAAAGCTGTAAGAATCTGGCAGGCATCAACTACAAATTTCACAGACTCACTTACATCTTGTGATCTCAACCCTACTCACAAAATCTGAGATATTAATCAAGCCCTTATCTTAGCTGGAAATGATAGTTAAAGCTCATGACAGTAAGTAAGCCTTTCCTTTAAAGACCCTCTGTAAAGGAGCAGGGACAGCCTGGCTCACAGAAGCATGTTCTGACCATTTAACCTAGGGAAGATAAGACACAGCAGACAGAGATTTCACAAGAAGGGCGAACATCTGAATGGCTTTTTATTTTTCCTTTCTACTCAGACAAATTAACACATGTTCACCACAAGGATGGCAACTAGCAACTCTACATCCAAGGCCATATGTACTTTGGACAAGAACGTCAGTGCTTCTAAGACAATGCAAGTTATCTTACAAATATGTATTCCATGGTAAAAGCAACACCATTAACCTACATGTCTAACATATCAGATGGCTTTTTTGGTAAGTTTCGTCATTGCACAAACTGGACAGAGAAACAGCTGAGTCCCAGAAATTCTTCTAGATTGTGGTGTCTGTCTGTTGAATAAGAACCCCTGTCACAGTTCCTTGGATTTGTTTCTGGGTTATTCACAGAGATATGTTAGAGATGATTCACTGACTGTGTCCTACTTCAGGGTCCTGTTTGTTATTTAATTACATCTCAGCTCTAAAGAGGTCACTAAGTGTGTGATACGGTGAGAGTTAAACTGGAGGGAAGGGCAGGATGTTGGAGAGAAACACCAACAATCATCTCTATATGTTTCAAACTGTGTGGATTTAGAAGACACATTCCTTTTTGTTGAAAATGAGAACAAAAATGAAGAATTGGTATAGGGCACATTAGGATAGCAAAGAAGGCTCAATTTCTGAAAGAAAAGAACACTGAACCTGGAGGTGAACTTCCTAGGTTTACCACAATTGCCAAGCTGGTTCACATAACCCAAGTAGATGACATACGGTAATTAGCTTCCACTCCATAACAGAGTTTGAAACGTTGAGAATATTTTCAAATAAATGATATTAGCAACCAATTATGACAAAACGCTTAATTTGATGCAACGTTATTGGTATCAAGTTACTAATACAACAACTCAGTTTTCAGTTTGATAAAACTGAAGTTACAGAGGTCTGCATTTGAATACTGGCCTTTTCTTTACATGGTGATTTTACACCAATCACTATTTCTGAACATCTGCTCCCTCATCCCTAAAATGAAAGGTCCACTGCATGCAAGATGATTGTGAGGATTAAACATAGGCGAGTGCGCTAAACATGCTCCTCGCAAGCAGAGTGGTACTCAGATTTTAGTTCTGCCCAGGGGTTGATTTTTTCCCCTACTGATTAATCAGTTTAATATTAGTTTGACCTGGTTTGTTCCATAAACACAGGTTAATCTCAATCTTAATTTGGCTTTATATTAATGTTATTTGGTCAGCTCTGATATGCCAGTTTGACATCAGCTTAGTTTTTTTTTAGAGAAGGGACTGGGGTGGGAGAGATCACAAATGATACTGACATGAGACAATCCCTAGCTCTAAGGGATAGTGCACTTAAGTCAGTAATGCCAGCTCTGGAGCTTATCAGGGACAACCTCTCATACTGACCCTGGGACTTGATCAAAGGAAAAGTTTCTCCTACTGAGAAATTGGATATAAAATGGTTTCTTACTGCTAACACTTCACAGAACAAAGTATGCATTTGGTTACAATGCTCCCATTGCCTAGATCACAAATCAGGAACTACATTAAAAGTACAGAGTGTTTGAAATAAATAACCTTAGAAAAACTCAAGATGTATGGTCTCTGGATGTATGACATATATCAAAGCCTAAAAGCCTTTCCTCCTTCCAAAATTATTATTAGGGCATAAAAATATTAAAATGGTAGTTAGGAAAGATGGAGACCCAGAAAAGTAATTGCTCAGTATAGATCTGTTCTACTGGGCTTGGGGTTAGAAGAAAATGATGAGGCAGAAAAACAGCTCACAAGCCTAAGACTAGAAAAAAAGACTAAGTTTTTAAAGTTGGGATTGGATGGGTCCCAGAGCTTGGTCACTGAGGAAATCCTCAAATTAGAAGCTAAAAAGCTAAGCTAAAATGTCAGGATCAAAGAAATATGTTTATAAACAGCAGGAGAGGATGGATAATAGATGCTTGTTCATTTTTGGTGGTCTCCTCATGACTTCCAAGCCTGAGATTTATTTCCTCCTAGAGGGACGAGATGTGCATTCTAGGGTCCTAATGCCATAGGGATATGCCCATCGGGGTTATTTCAGTATTCTCTGTTCAGGAAGATGTGTTGCTTACAGTATTGGATAAAGAGTTACAACATGCTGTTGTACTTGTAGGTGGTAGCAGGCGGAGAATAAGACTAAACTTGCCCATTTCCTTGCACTGATTTTCTGAAAAACACACAAACTTTAGCCACATGGTGGCATGGTGATTCTACCTAGAGCCTCTCTAAGCGTGACTGTGGTGAGGTGTAGGGAGTGAAGAAAAATAAGGCCTGAAAAACACAAAGAGACTTCAGACAAACTGTTCTTGTCACTGATGAGAATAATTGGAGAAGGGCTAAGAGATAGTAGGGTATGAATATTATTTGCTCTAGAGAAAGTCATCACCAGTTGAGCTAAAATCTGAAAAACAGATTTTCCTTTAACATTTTCCCATTTTTAGGTTAATTTTTATAGGCCTGTAATACTTTTTTCCCAGCATGAATTTTTTTTGCCCAAAAAAATGGCAAGCAGAAAGAGCACCATAAGGTCAGTTGGAACAGTGTTGTGTAAACTTCTAAGCAATATTGCTTTTCTCTTTTGAGGACTTTGTGGATTTCTGCTTGGCTGGATAATTTATTACTGATAATGATTTCTGTCTTACAAGAGAAAATATCAATGATAAAAAGAACTTCACAAGATGTAAAGGAGTTACTTTTGAGTGATAATATTTCAGTCTCTTGGACGTAGTGAATAGGATGATTTATGGTTGAGGATGGGAAATGAAACCCACCTGCTGTCCAAAATCTCACTTATTAAGCAAGGTCACTCACATCTAGTCCAACTCCACTCTGTATTTATAGTTCCTGAAACCATTTTAAGACTTCTGAGAAGAAAGGTGTTCTGAAGTATTTAGAAACTAAATCTGCCCATCAACGTTATGGAGTCTAATTCAGCGTCCAATTAATTCCAAGTTAGGTAAGGTCATTTTCCTTTGTTCTCAAATTCTTAAATCTGTTTAAAATTATAGTGGAATGTTTATTCATTTTACGTGACATGCACATGCTCAGTGCCTGTAACACAGTGTAAGCTCAATAAATGTTTATTGTTCACATGAACTCAAATATATTTAAGATTGTCTAATAAAGTCAAAATAGACATCTAAAAATAGTCTTATATTCTTAGGCATTCACTAGTGTACAAAGCTATGTTTGGGTCTACATGTATAGGTAAAAATTATGGATGCTAACATTTTTCATCTTGGTAACTTGGGCTCCAATCTGTAAGTCTTGGGGAAGATACTCAAAGTTTAAGACACTATAGATTATTTAACTAAATATCAACCGGCCACACTTATAGGAAGTATTACCATTCAAGGGGTAGAGGGTGGGCGAGAGATTTCCTTTAGGTCAAGTGATTTTAGATCATACCTTATATAACTGCAAGCCAAAATAATTTTAGTTTGGCTTTTAAAAGAATAAAAAGAATGTAAAGGTTATGAATAGAATATTATATAGGCAGGTACACAAAACCTCATTTCTACAAGGCAGTTACACAAAATCTCATTTCTACAAGATAGCTGTATTTTTTTATAAGCCGAGAACTTGCAACATCTTGAAGACCAGGAATATTAAAGCATAAATTTAGCCTCTTGAGGTTCCTGTCTTGCAGTGTTGTGATGACAGAATAATGTAGAAAAACAGATCACCATAGAGAATTTATAGAAGGAAATAGAAACAAAGTCCTTTTTTCTAAACAATAAAATAAGGATAAAGAATGAGTAACACAAAATAAAATTTGGCTTATATTCTGTTGTGTCTTTGCCTTTCAAAATAAACAGTTCCATTAAAAATTCTGCTAGTAGCATTTCCATTCTTTACTTGTTCTCAGATTCCTACCCAGGGGGAAAAAAAAAGAACAAGATATAAAAACAAATTAATGATTGTTGTTAGTTGCATAAAAGAATCACTATAAAGATTTCTCTTAGATTAGGGCCTAGAAGGCCACGAGATTTCTATTTCTCTGTAAAGATATTCTTCAAATTCACAAAATAAGTTCTTGTACATACCTACTCCCATGTTTAAAGAGCTCATTAAACAGAAAAACAAGGGAAAGATAAGTTGTATCAAATATCCATACTCATGAATGCCAGCAATGCTGTAACTTGAAGAATGTTTTTGAAGTGATGGGAGTAGGGTGGGGAAAGAAAAATAAAGGAGCTTTCTCTTTTTCCAGTCCTAAATCTAACTACAGCATTTAAAAAAAAAAAAAAAGTCAGGAATATTCCACAAACTCTAACCAAAAAATTTTTCAAAACACAAGCAGTTGAGAGATAAGGGGCTATGCTTGATGCTAACATTTGAGTTATTTCTTCTTATACTTCACTGAACACTCAGATAAAAGGAAGACATTCTCATTATTTTGCTTGCTTGCTTTTGGACCAGTTTTCCATTAAAAATAAAATCCAAAGATATCTTACTTTCTGTAATAGTGTAAAATTATAAACTTCACAGTCAATATGTTTAAAAATCCTTAAAAATGGAATTATTAATATATCTTTCTATAATCCTTTAAGATATCTTTTATATGGCAATTACAATTGAGATTTGAATAAATATATTAGAAATATTGAGGAATTTTTCAAATGAAAGAAGTAAAAATTATATGATAGAATTTTATTTTAATAATCCTTTTTTTTTAAGTAGAACTTATAAATGACACAGGAGAAATGTTGCATTTTTGAAATCACCATAGCAACAGTGACATTATTTGCTCTTACTTTTTACAAAGAAACTAAATTATTTCAAGTGCTTTAGAAAAGTTAGATATTAGAAACAATGTTATTATATCCCCTGGCAATAATACTGATAGCTGATCCACTGCTTATTATATTTGTCTTGGGATATACATATTGCAGTCATCCAATACTGAACATCAATTTAAACACCCAGCCAATTCAGGTTCTGCTCCATCCTAGCAGACATAATTACTTCATCATCGGAACTTAAAAAAAAAAAAATAAATCTATAAAAGGCAGCTTTTAAAAAGGCCAAATAAAGACTTTCAAATATAAAGTTCATTTCTCAATGTACATAAGAAAAATAAGAACCTTTTTCAATTGGGCATAGTTAAGTTTGATTCTCAGTGGCACATCATTCAATGGGCTCATAATTGTCCTGGAGTTGGCCTTCTTTTTCAGGCCTAAAACAAATTAATTGGCATAAGAATGCATACTGCCAGGATTTTTTTATATGTGGTTTTAGAAAAGAATACACTAAATAGATTTCATCTTTTCAATATAGCAGTTTAATGGTGGCATTCACTTTTGTATGATCACAAAATAAACCATTTGGGAATAAAGTGTTTAACTCCAAAATGTCAGCTCAGTGAAACACTGGCTGACATTGGACAGCCTTCTCTTTGGAGAAAGTGTACAGCTGACTAGAAACCTAGAAACTATTTAAAACTAAAACACTGGGAATTTTGTCATTGTTGAGTTTGATTGTTGTGGCGTTACTATTTCCACTCACCAGCTCGAAGGGGTCGTGGAACTCCCCCAACAAAGATAGTTTTTCTGGGGTCCAAAGGCTGAGAATCATCCATTACAAAGTCACTGTCACTTAGGTTCCATGGTCGAATTTGCACCTGAAAAAAAGTTGTTTACTTGGTCCTTACTTCATTTCCATCAACCCCCAATGAGAAAAGATGACTAATGACAACCCAGTATTTTGTGCACTTTATAACATAAACAACCCAAGCATAATCTAGTAAATAAATGTAATTTGTATTTAATGTCTTCCAACAGTATTTTTTTTTTGGTATAATATATATGTACTACACTCAACACTCTAAACATATACTATGAAACCTTTGGAAACTAACTTTTTTTGGTTGGAAAAAAAGTGTCTGTTTTGTTTTTAGAGTCTGTGTTTTACATCAGATTCATTTCAACACATTATAGGCTGTTAATAACAGATCACAGTGTAGTACTTTGCTTTTTAAGAGCCCACCTAAAGGAAGAGAAAAGGGATATGAAGGATATTTTATTTATGTCTAGTCTTTCCATTAGTATCACTCCTCAATTGAAAATATTTATCTTTCTGCAATACAATGTAACACAAATTTATTCTCATCAAATAGCACAGATTTCCAAATAGATATAACACTGAAATGCCCAGAGTTATTTACTGTGGGTTTATCTGATTTTCCTAATAAAATTGTTTAAGCAAAGGCAAGTTTAGAAATAAAAGAAAATTTTCAAAAAAGAAAAGTAGAAAATTTTACCTTGATGACTACCTTAGTTATCTAGTGGCAGAATAGCAAAAATACTACCAGTGGGTGGCTTTGAGAAATAGAAATTAATTTTCTCATCATTTAAGAGGATAGAAGTCTGAATCCAGGGTTCTAGTTTAATGGGGAAGCTTTCTCTCTGTTGGCTCTGAAGATAGGAACTTGAGTCTTTGAGCTTCTGTTTCTGGACAACCTTCATGTGATTTTAGCATCTCTTGTCTCCCATCTCCTATTGTTAACTCTTATATCTCATTTAATCTCTTTTTTTCCTCCTCACACTAGTCTACATAGTAACACAATGTTATTCATTAGCATAGCAGAGACAATCAACTCCCAAGTGGGATCATAACCACAGATTTAGAGGTTAGGATTTATAACACTTATTTTTGGGGGACACAATTCAATTAATAACTTTCAACACTTTGGCCTCCCTACATCAATTATGACTGAGAATCTCTAGTCCTAACACTGGGCAAAATTCCTTTTCATCTGTGCACTTATGAAATCCAGATTACAAATAAACTGTTTCCAAAACACAACAGTGAAACAGTTACAAAGCAGGCATTTCCATTACAAATGGGAGAAACTGCAGAGAAAGAAGAAATAATAAACACCAAGCAAGTCTAACCCAGCAAAACAAATCACATAGCTCTCAAGGACTGACAATGATCCTCTCTTCTCTTGGACAATCTGGCTGTTGACTGTCCTCTGGATTATGGGTAGAGAACATTCAGCCCTGAGAAACTGTGCACCTTGGGCTGTAGGCAACCCCATTTTCCTGGTCTGTCTAAATTGTGACCACCCAACTACTGAGCACAGCAGGTCCCATCCTTCTGCCCCTTGGGCAAGGCAGCCCTCATCCCTCTGCCATGGTAATGGCAGTCCCACACTTAGCAGTCAAGGTGGTGAAGATGTGACTCTTTGAAGCCTATAGTTTTGTGGCCCTATCCTCTGAAACCTTGAAGACCCTGCTTCCAGGGCTCCTTCCCACAGTTCTATTGATATCCACATTGTTCCACAGGTGGCTCTTTTCTTTTCTTGGATACAGAGATAGAGATCCTTTGATCTATTTTCCTGCTTGCAGAAATCCAAAAGGTAGACAGCATTTTCTCCTTTTTTCCTTTCTCTGTCTCCTTTACTTAAAGCTGAGGGTTTTTCTGCTATGGTAGTTGGTTAGATCCTTTGGTCACACGTTTCAAATCTTAACATTTGTGTCGTCACATCCCTTGAACATTCTACTTCACACAGAAGAGTTTTCCAATTAATTAGTTTCTGGTTTCATTTAGCAAAATTCATTTTAAAGTCCATCTCTTTCTTCTTGCATTTCATTATATACAATTAGGAGGAATCATTTAGTTCCTTAAATATCTTGCTTAGAAATCTCATTAGCCAGATATCTAAGTTCATCACTTAGAAGTTCTACATTTCACCAAACATTTGAGCATAACTCAGACAAATTCTTTGCTTGCTGTATAAAAAATCACCACCCTTCCTCCATTATACAGTCATGTTTTCATCATTTTCTCTTTTGTGTTTGTGTGTACTGTCAAGTTGAATCCAACTGGCACAGGAGGAGACTGCCCCTCCTCCAGTGGAACATCTGGTGGATTCAAACCTTTGGGATTGCAGCTTCTTGCCACTAGGCCACCAGAGCTCCCTCATCATTGTCTCTTAAGACCTCACCAGTACTACATTTATTAACAACATTTCTACAAACACTGTTGATGACATCATATGTATTCTCTAAGATGACAGAGACTTTCTCAACGTCTTTCCTCACTTCCTTCTGAACCCTCACGAACTGCCTTGGACATCCATAATTCTTTCTTGAGTCTCTTCAAGGAAGTTTAGGCTATTACTACTAGGCATCTTAAAACTTTTCCAGCCTCTTCCTATTACACTCAATTCCACATTTTATCTATCTGTTAAAGCAACAATCTACTATTCCAGTACCAAAATATCTAGTGCTGCTGTAGCAGAAACAGGGAGCTCTGGTGCCATGGTCAGTGGGGCATTGTACTGCAACTCAAAGGCCAACCCCCTCGATGGTTCAAACACACCAGTGGCTCCTCAGGAGAAAGATGACCTATGTTCTCTGCATAATTTACAACCTTGGAAAGTCAGTGGTGGAACAGCTACAGTCGGTTCCAACTTGATAGCAATGAATGAGTGAGTGACAGCAGAAACACAAGTGGATGGCTTTTAAAAGTAGACATTTTTTTTTCCCCATTAGGTGGTCAGAAGTCTGAATCTGGGGTGCTGGTTCGAGAGGAAGTCTAACTCTGCCGGGTCTGGATAAAAGTCATTGTGTCTCTGCTCTTCTGCTCCTGGACAGTCTTCATGTGAGCTCTCTTAGGGTCTCTGCTTCGTAGTTTATTTGACTATACTCTCTTCTATATCTCCAAAGAGACTAACTCAAGAGACAGCCTACACTAATCACCCCTCATTAATATAACAAAGGTGATTCATCCCCACATGCGATTATACCCGCAGACATAGAAGTTATACTTTAGGACAGATATTTAGAGAGGACACAATTCAACATACTTCCATCCAGTAACATCACTCCATAGGAATTCTTTTTGCCCTTAGTTTGTATGTCTTATCATATAATAAAAACCCCCAAACAAACAAGGACCTTAACTTTAAACCAAATTTCTTTGAATTCATAACTGAATGAAAAGAAATAGCTTTAAAAAATCCCCCCAAAATCCTATACCAAAAGGTAAGTTTCCATACTGCTTGAAAATGGATACTCAATTAATCATGCAGATGGACTAGTGCTCTGGGAAACAGGCTAAATGGAAAAACAGGAATTAGAGTGTCTATCCTTAAGAAAGCTCCTATTTTTATTCCTACAGATGAATTTTCATTTTCTTAATATCAGTAGAATTGGTCATTTTCCCTTACTTCTCAAGACCAACACTTAATGAAAGGATGTGTATAATATCACCTCTTATGCAGTTTGGCTTACATTCAGAAGTACACCCGTTTGAAATGCCAATTACATTTCTCAAAACATATTACATAAATTCTAAAACTGGCATTGCTAAATCAGAAACAGTCCACACATTCCTTACATTTATTACAAAATTAACTTCCACCTCATATTTTATCTTTTATGATACTGTTGCTTTTACCAGTTATCCAATAGCCATAAAATTTTCATTTCTTCCCTAAAGCCTGAATATTTGGATTTATATGCAAATCTGTTAATATTCATGCATTTACTTTACTTTAACTGAATAAAAAAGAAAAAAAGAACCCCAAAAACTCTACTCCAATTCTCTTATAAAATTTTCCTTGTTTAACTATTTTATACTTCCCTTGACATTCACCACAAGGCACATTCGCTACTATCATAAAGCACTATCTTTAAATATTTTCCATGAGGATGCATTATTCAAGACACACTAATCTCCCGACACTACAATAACAGAGATTCTAATGTCATCAATTAAAAAAATTTCCTTCCTTCTTCTTTTTTTACTTTATTAGAAATAAGCTTATCCCAGGCTCATTTCTAATAAAGTAAAATAGTTAAAGATAACGTTAGGATCTGGTAAAATAATTCCAACCAGTGTACATTATTTTTGACTTCTGACTTTGATTATGGATCACTTTGTTTCACAAATGGAAACAATTACTGTGTAGTAGTCATAGTGGTCAGGTTTCAACTAATGAAAAGCACAGAAAATGCAGAACCCTAATAAGCTGCAGGTTATTAACAACCACAGAGGCAATTGCAACTCTTAGTCACTGTTGCTCAAAAGAACCGTGCAGAAGATTTCAAACCTTCTTGCTGAGAGCTCTCAATATTGCCTTCTCTTCTGAAGCATTCCTCCTACCCTCACTTCATCAGATCACACACAATCCATTCCATTACTCTATTCTTGGCAGTGCAGATTAGGTTAAGATACAGGAAAGAGGGCTCAGGAGACAGTGCTGATTAACCCTATTTACAAAACTCACATTCTCCAGCTGCCACCAGAAAACAGCTGCTCAGCGCTTGTACCTCTGCAAAATTAGAGAAACAGCAACATAGGCCAACATCAGCACACCCTACGTGCTAAGCAAAAATGAACATTGCAGTGCCATTTGGATGGAAAAATTCCATTTTCACTCTGGTTCCTTCTGAAATATAAGCCCACTCACATACATGGCAAGTTCTCTATCTTCCTAAGATGTCTTTTCATATATCAGAACCCAGTACTTTTTTTTTTTTTAAAAGAGCCTAATATCTTTGCTCTTTCTTTCTGGATTAATTAATCTGATATACTTCCTTGCTCTGCTCTTATAAATAAATAATTATATCTCTATAAGCAAATGGAAATATTCTCTGAAAAAGGGTAGAG